GAACTCCCGGCCTACTCGCTTTTCCTTAATGCCTGGGTAGTACAATACGTGTTTATGAGGGGCAGAGGTTTTGTAGTTCGAGGTAGCTTCATTCTTGCGTATCCAGCCTGCACCGGTGCTCTTGCGTACCCAGCCTGCACCGGTGCTTCTCCCAACCCACCCGGACCAGGACTCAATCTTCTTGCAGCTGAGCGGTTAAGTCTTTGACCAGTAGCCGAGACCGTTTTTAAGATATGGGGAACTGCGTGGGCCATCATCAATAAAATCTGTCAAACTACAACAAAAGCAACGTTCATTCCTTTTCTTTGTGGATTTGAAGCTTGGGACATGTGCGGGCTCCGTGGCTTAGCTGGTTAAAGCGCCTGTCTAGTAAACAGGAGATCCTGGGTTCGAATCCCAGCGGGGCCTTTTTGTGGTTTTTTTTCTGGAGGTGTTCAGTAAACAATGCTGTGTTGAAGTGTGACATCAAAGCCATCTTCATGCACTACACGCACTTTACGAAAGTATTTATGTGGATTAGGAAGTGGGTTCTAGTTTACAAAAAGAAAACAAAGGCTAAGATTATTTCTTTAAGGACAAATGCATTTCTTAGTGTTACTATAATTTTGTCCCACGTAGTACACCCCCCGCCCCACCCCAATTAAAAAATTATCAGGGAAAGCAGACAGAAAACAAAACTCTGCAAGAACTACGAGACCTCTGGCTATTTTTATTTCTCAGGAATCTTGAATGGGTGTACTATTGCAGTCTGCTTCAAATGGTTTGTTCCTTTTGTTTATTTTTTTTTAAACGGATTTTGAAATGATTGATAACGCTGTTGCGGAAAGCCCATAGCACCTCTGACAATCATATAAACAAGCCATGATTCATTTCAAAGGTGCATTGTACACCTGAAAACCTGTCTAGGAAAACATCTATGTGGTTACCTGTCACAGTGTGAGTGATATTCTGAAACACAGAGACCTGAAGAAGACTTAGGAATGGAGAGCCTTCCCCAAAATTCTGTAGTATGAAGACACTGAGAAGTCTGAAAAAAGGAAGGAAAAAAAAATGTACTTATACTCTTAGCTGAGTGTTCTCACTAAGATCAGGGAAACAGGTAGCTGCCAATCCCCCATTGACTTCCCAAGATCCAACTCCCAGCTCTTGGCACAGAAAATTCCACATGACTGGCTTTACTGCTTTTGTGGAAACAGCCTGCTACTCCGAGGGTCAGCTCCGGAGGTAGGTACAGTTTCTGACCCCCCCGCCCCCCCCCGTGTTGTAAGCAGCAATGACTGAGAAGGCAAATTCTCTGATTCATACAATTTCTCTATCTGCCCACAAACTCTTGCACCTGCCTCATCTGCTCCAGGCCGACTACAGAAACTGAGCACTTGGGTACCATTTTTATATGGCGGGTCAAATAGAAAGATCAAAGGCTATCTTGTAAATACACAGTGCTTCTACTGTAAAAATAGACTAGGAAACAACTATATATATTTTATATTTATTTATATATATTATATTTACTAAAGAAAGAAAAAGAAAAACAAAAGTAAACTCAATCTAGTAAGTTTTAAAAGAAAAACACATTGTCAGGAGTGGGATTCGAACCCACGCCTCCAGGGGGGAGACTGCGACCTGAACGCAGCGCCTTAGACCGCTCGGCCATCCTGACCCGCTGCTACCTGTCGTCGCCCAACTCTTAGTTCTATCTTTCCCAAAATGCCGTTTGCTACGCTCTGTCCTCTTTCAGTGGAGGCTTGTGACTGTTTCAGTTATAAACTGTGGTTGTTTTAACTAGGTAAACTACTTTAGGCAGCGACAACAATCAACCGCTGGGAACCGTCCGCTGTCTGGCTGGTGCGGAGCGCGGGCCTGGCTGCAGCGTGGTCTGCTCCGGGTTCTCAGCGGCAAGCCGGTAGGTTTGACTCTCAGCGTGGGGCTTCCACATTCTGCTCATCCAGAACCCTCGGGCATGAGATTTCCCCCCCCCACTCCCACCCCCACCCCTACCCGCAGGCACACCCAGAGGTTGAGAGTCCGAGCGGGCACCGCAGTGTGCACTAGCCAAAGACAAAGCTTCTCCGAGACAAAAACATGAAACCGAAAACCAGAAATCGTTTCTCTCCTAAACCCACCAGTCCTCGACAACAGCGCATTTTCCAAACTCAAATCGAGACCAGAGGCGACCTATTTCTAAGTGTCAGCCTCAGCAGTAGGGATGGAATCCCTGGAATCTCACAGGAAGTCGAAGAAACCGGAGCTCTGGTTTAGACCTTAAGGTCCAATGCCCAAAGGACCGCAGAAAGGTCATTCTGGCTCTGTGGGCTTTAGAAACTGTCCCACCCCACTCCACCACCACCCTTGGTTTTAGTTTTTGAGATTTAAGGGTCTTATTATGTAGTCCAAGCCGGCTTCAGCTTCCGGAGCGCCGGACTTCCAGGCTTGAATCATTGTGTCTAGTCTAGAAACTGCTTCCCCACCCTCCCTTATTTTTTGGATAATTTCTAGAGTTTAAATGTCATTGACGAAACACTACACTGTGAGTAAAATGTCCAGCTCTAGATAGTCAGGTATGTGCTGGTGCTCAGCCTCACCCTGACCTACTAAATCTGAAATTTTGCTGTTTAAAAACAAGAATATGAGAATTAACAATGTGTCACATACTTGACAATTGCTGAGAGATTTTAAAGGATCTCACAAAGAAGTATGTGAGGTAACAGGTATGGTTTGTAATTTCATTCAGCTTTTCCACAGTGTTCCACATATCAGAACATTTTTGTACACCATAAATATATATAATCCTGACTGGTGAATTTTAAACACGTTTAGGGGATAGCGCTCCATATTATGGGTCTAACAAACCCTCCAAACGATTGTGAGAACCATGGCTTAAATAAAAATAGTATTTCTGTAATTCTTAGAGAAACTCCCCCAACATTAGCAGAAAGTAGTGAAAACGCATAGGTAATGCTTCTGATAACCCTCTAGGATAAGAATTCTCCCCTTACCAATTAAGCCAGAATGTCTGGGAGTGTCACCTGACAGGATTTTTAAATTATTATCATCATCATCATTATTATTATTATTATCAGGAACGCTCGATGTCACCCTGGCTGATTACTGGGTTTAAGGGACCCTCATTACCTGAAGGAACTCCGAAAGCATTCAGATTTGAGAGCTTGGTTTTTCATGGTTAAGCTTTAGTGAAAGCCTGAATCTTTCTTTTAAGGATGAGGGTGTAGCCACATTGATAACAATGTTCAAGACAGTATGGAACGGGACTCTGGTCCAAATTATGCTTTTGTTTTGTTCTGAGGCAAGGTCTCATACAGTTCAGACTGAATTTAAAATACATGATTATTGGAAGGCTGCTGTGACTGTAAGAATAAGGGACTTTGTTGGTGACTAACCTTCCTTATCACACAGTCTCAGTGTGGCACACGGAGGCTGAGGCTGGAACTGAAGCACTCGGAATCAGCACAGTGTTCCTTAGAATCCAAGACTGTTTAGCACACCCACAGACCACTTTCTTTGAATATATGGGGCAAAGGGAAGCAGAGACAGAGCTGATTGAAACCTGAGAGAGCTTTTCTCTACCCACCCCCTTTTGATAGGGCCTTAAAACTTAATATGTAGTTCAAGTTGTCATTGAATTTGTGGTCCTCCCAACTCAGTCTCCAGAGTGCAGATATTACAAGTGTGTTCCACCAGGCCCAATTCTGTGACCCCTTTTCTTTTTAATCTTAGAGATACAGTTCCATATATTCTGTGTGACATTTTGCAAATACATATTAGGATACACATCATACATTAATCACAGTAATGTAATCTACTTTTCCTAGGCATTTAACTTTTTGTTTTGTTTTGTTTTTCGAGACAGAGTTTCTCTGTATTGTTTTGGAGCCTGTCCTGGAGCTCGCTCTGTAGACCAGGCTGGGCCTCCAACTCACAGAGATCTGCCTACCTCTGCCTCCCAAGTACTGAGATTAAAGGTATGCGCCACCGATGCCCGGCTGCATTTAACTTTTTAAACTACATTTATTCGTATATATAGTGTATGTGTATATGTGTATGGGTAAACATGGTCTATGACAAACTTGTGGGTATCAGAGGACAATTCATTCCACGCGGTGGGTCCCTGGGATTGAACTCAGGTTACAGAGATCCACCTGCCTCTGCCTCTGGAGTGCTGGGATTAAAGGCGTGTGCCACCAACGCCCACCTTCAATGCTTTGGACTATGTTTTCTGTGAATTTCTACAAGTAAAATTTGAATACAAATGAACACATTTATTTGTGTATTTATTTACTGAGATAATGTGTTGCTATATAGCCTAGGTTGAACTCTGAACTGCCTATGTGATGATTCTCTTGCCTCTATCTTCTGAGTTCTGGAAATACACATGTGTGTCACCATACTCAACTTAAATTCTTTTAAAGGAAAGATAAAATGTGCTTCCCTCCCAGGAGTACAGTACAAGGCAAGGTGCATAGGGTAGCCAGTGTTTGGGGGGAAAAAGGAGAAGAAAGGACACAAGGTGCCGTGAGTTGATGGAGGAAAGAGCCCGTGGTGGTTTGAATGTGTCCCCCAATTTTCATGTGTTCAAAGATTTAAATGTCAGAGACACATGGGGGGCGGTGCTAGGGATGGAACCCAAGACTGCTGGGAACTGTACCCTCTTGGTAGATCCTGAGGAAGGGATGAGGCTTACTCACCAACACAATTACCTTACAGGACTAGAAATGAAACAAGGCTGAGAGCAGGAAGCTTTCGGGGCAGTGGCCTTTGTGAAAGTAGTTTGATCCCCATGAGTGGCTCCTGTCCCTGCCTGTTCTGGTGAAGCTCTCCTGCAGGCCTAGGCCTGGGATCGCACAGATAAGCACTGCTGTGGCAGGCAGTGTATCCCCAGGCAGCTTTCAGGCCTGTTTCAGTCCTTCTTACTGGGATGAACAAAGGGAAGTCCAGTAGCTGCCTTCAGCAATCAGACTTTATTTATTTGTTTGTTTGTTTGTTTGACAAAGTCCATGGACAACTTCCATGCTGGAACCTGGAAAAAAAATACAATAGAAATGCAAGAGCTTGGATACAAACACAGGTCATTGGCAAAACAAATCCCAAACAGGACACTGGAGCAGACTCAAATAGAAACAAACGGTCTAGCTGTGTTGAGCATCATGGTGCAACGCTGGGGATCCTAACACAAAACAGAATTCAGGAAGGCTGAGTAGGCTACATTAAGCAATAGCACAGAGTGGAAAAGTGTTGGGCCTAAGAAAGGCTGGGATGTGAGGCCCAGTGTAACCTCCTGAGCCTGGCTAGAGTTTAGCGACCTGTCTCTAACCTGTAACCTCCATGTGGCAGTGACTCAGACAGACCTGATGCAAGATTGCCCCCTGCCTAGCTACCTGCCTGCTTGGGGGAATACTATTGTCCCTTAACTCCTCAGGTCACCTTACCCTATCCCAAGATTGCCATCCCCTACCTCAGTCCTATATAAGTTCCTGTGTGTTGGAATAAATCGAGATCCTGCTTCGACAGACTCCAGACTCAGTGTGTGTTCTTTTTCTTCCTGGTAACTAATGGGGGGAGGGTCTGAGTCATGGACACTCACCATCCCACTCAGTCCCCTGGAAGAGGCCTGCTGGACCAGCCCTTCCCCCACTCTACCTGCAGGAAGGACCCTGCAGGAAAGAATGGCAGTGGAAGAGAATTGAAGGTGCCTGTGAAGTGGTTGGATATTGCAATGAAGGCTGAGGGAGCATGCAGCTGAGACTAACAAAAATAATGAACCATTGGAGGCTGATAGGTTGTGGGAGAGAAGAAATCACTGTGTTCTTTTATACCTGTCCTCTTGAGCCCACCAAACTTCAGTGGATAGCTCCAAATCCATGTTCCCATGATAGCTCTGCTAAACTCAGTGTGTCATATTTGGAGCAAATAAGGGGTGCTGATGAGAGAAGGGGAGGGAAATAAGACAGAATAGAGAAGTGTAATAGTAATTAGAATGCATTATACACTTATATGAAGTTGTCAAAATTTAATTAATAAGAAATGTTTGAGATATAGTCCTGGAAAACTCTAGGACAGGACAAGTGCACCTAGTCGGACCAAGTTTACTTCATCTGTGTCTGCCTTGTCTTCTCTAAATTTCTTTATGGGGTTTTTAGCCTAAGATCTTCCTTTCCCAGCATCCTGTGGTTTGGTTTGGTTTTCCCCTTGCCTAAAATCTGTCATTCCACATACCCCTATTCCACTGCTGCCACAATTTCATGCTGACCTACTTGCCTCTTGGTCTCTTAGGTGACTGTATCAAGTCCTCCTATGTAGGCTCTGATCTGAAGGGATATGGGCACTAGAAATAGTTTAGGAATCACCTCTCAATCTCCTCAATATTGATACAGAAACAAATTAGGAAAGCCTTTCTCCCTGCCTTCTCCAGCAGCAGCATACCACCTTCCCAAGGTGAATTAACCTCCATGACCAGGAAGAAACAGGACTGCAGGAAGCTCGCAACTGAAGCTTCAGAGTGTGAGGGAGTAGTCGCAGGAGAGGGAGATGGTGGAGCTGGAAGATTCATTAAGGTGCCACTTGTCTAGGTGGGAAAGGTATCAGTTTAGAATGGAGAGTATCTGTTTCTCCAGAAGCAGAGCCTTCCCCCAGCGGGGACAAGGGAATGGTATCCTGGACATTAGCAATGACTGTGACTTTCTCAGGTGCATTGGCAGCTGGACAGATGGTCAGGGGCTTTTTACCACATGACCACAGGCAAAAAAAGGGACGGAGAGGGCCAGAGAAAGAGGTGCTAGGGAAAGTATAGATAAGAGTGCCATCACTCATGTTGTAGAAGGAAATGTCTCCTGATTCATAGTCCAGAAAAACCCCAACCCGGCGAGGAGGTCCTGCTAATCGGAGAGGGGTCCGGAGTGGGGTGAGGGCCCAGTATCCATTTCCATATAACTCCACAGCCCAGAACCCATTATCAGGAGTCATGGGATCAAACCCTTTCTTCACCACATTCTCCCTACACACACCAATGGCCCAGTCAGTTCTGTCTCCCACCTCCACCTCCCAGTAATGTCTCCCTGAAGTGAAAGTCTCTCGGCCTAACACACAGGGCCAGGAGTCAAATCTCTCTGGTCTATCAGGCACGATCTGACGTGAGTCTTCCAAGCGAACTGACTTTGAATCCTCATACAGAAAGAGGTGGGGGTGTGCTGTGTCTGGATCCAGAGTCACGTCAACTGGAGGCAAAGAGAGAGAGTGCATCAGCAAATGCATGATGGTATTTAGCCTATCCTCTTCCTAAATACATGAAACAGAGTTGTAGGAGCTGGTGAATCCTTGTAGTGGGAGAACTGTCCTTCTCCCCTGACCCATCTCTCACTGGCAACTATGGAATGACTTAAGAACTGACTGCCTAATGGGATATTGTCAAAGGAGCTTTTCTGCTAGCCATCTTCTGTGGTCCTTAGGAGGCCTCACAGAAAGTGCTGGAGTCATTCACTGTCACCTTCCCCCTTTCTAGCCTGCCACTAAAGGGAACATTTGAGTGTTCTTGTGTTCAAGCCTCACAGATCTTTGACTCCCAAGGTTGGGCTTCAAAGGCAACGAGGAGCTGGGAACCACTGACCTTCATGCAATGCAGTCTTTTTACACCCTGCAATGTGAAATAAGAGAGACTGTCAGTGGTGCCTTAACAGATAGGAAAGAGAAAGTCTCGTGGGTCAGAAACAAGAAGGCAACTTACTGAGTTCCTCCAGAAGTCTCTCTGGAAAACAAACAAAATTATTTCAGGTTTTTTTTGTTTGTTTATTTTTTTGTTTTGTTCTTTTTTTTTATGACAGGCCAGCAGACAGAGGAAAAATGAGACACTATTTAATCAATGGTGACCCGGACAGAAACACTGTCAGTAAACCAGGAACAGAAATGCTGCCAGGACAAACAGAATATTTCTAAGAAATAATCTGGACGTTCCTCCTGGTTTAGGACTAGATATTAATCATAAGATTCTTCCTGGGAAACAGGATTAGAATTGGCCAGAGGGCCTGAAGCTGAGTTGTGAGAGGACATAAAGTAGAACATAAAAATGACAGCTGGTTTTGACTCTGCCTATGTCACTTCAATTTTCTTCACGTTAGGTACCTGTAATCTTAGAAGGTTTATAATCCCTTCCAACTGCAGAATTCTAAAATCCAGCATTTTCCTGTTGAAAGTCAGCTGAGCAGGCCTGAATCCCACCTCCCCTGGAAGCTGTGACAAGAAGCCCTTGTGGGTACTATGACTTACCTTTAGAGCCAAATTCACTCCTCTGCCCTCTGGATCTTTCCTTGTATAGTCTCCAAGTGAAAAACACCGACCCGATGGTGAGAAATGCTAGGGCCAGTATGATGATAGCCACAGCTACGATCCAAGGAGTCAGTCTTGGAGTAAAGGGAGCTAAACAAAAACAAACCAAAAACCAAGAAGGACATTGTTTGGGAAACTGACTAATTTCATCTTCTCTCCTGTGTCAAAGGAGAATAGAGATGGGGATGCCCGTGACAGCCTCCCACTTCCCACACCAAGAATTTCTCCGTCACGCTAATCTTTACAGAGGATTTGACTCTGGGCAAAAGCAAATATTGAAGAGCCATCTAGGCCAGAACACGTGAAATAAAAATCTAATGTGCCTCTTGGTGTTATAGAAACCCCTTGTTTAACTACTACTGAGGTGGTGAGGTAAAGGAAGAAGGAGATGATAACCACATGCATGACAGAATAGGAATGATTCCTGCTAAACCAGAGGTAATGACTAGGAAACAACGAAAGAGCTTGCTTCCTGAAGGAACTTGGCAGCCTATATGGAGCTCCAATGTGGGCTGAGGGAGGAGAGGTTCTCTTTGGTCACAGTCGTAGCCACAAAGCACACGACCCTTTAAGCTGTCTAAGTATCTGCCTGAATGCCGGTGTGCATACCTGCTAGTTGTCAGGGGGGCGGGGTCAGCATAATGCCAGGATATCAACACAGTCAAATAAGAGAAGTAATTTAGTCTCTACTTATTGAAGGAGAAGGGGTCCAGTCAAGAAGGCCCCCAGGGAGATTGGCATGGGGGTGGGGTGGGGTGTATGCTGTACTAGGACCTCATGCGTGCTACAAGATCATCACTACAAGATCCATCACTGAGGTACAGCTCAACCCTCAGTATTGTTATTCTAATGAAGCTGATAAGGCTTTTCCCTCAGGTTAGCAGAGGAGAGCAGTGGGGGAAGATGTAGACAACTCTGCCATGAAGTCCCTTCTGAGCAGGGCCGCAGGACTTATTGCCCTGAGTCTCTGTCAACATGGCAGTCCAATATTCTTTCCACTGACCTGGTATAGAGATCTCTAATTCCTTCTCCTGGCCAAGGAGGAGATTCTGGATGCAGCAGGACACATTCTTTATGGAGCTGTCTGTGATGATCACTGAGGCTGCCACAGTGAACAGGCCTTCCTCATCATGATTCTTGGACTCTGCAGTGAATGGAAGTCTGTCCCCTGAGGGAGTTCTCCACTGCACTTCCGGCTCTGGGAACCAGCCCGAAGAAGTGCATTCCAGTTGGATCTGTCCATTCTCTTTAACTTCCATACTGATGTGAGGATCAGAGCCCAGAGCTATGGAGAGAGAACCTGGCTTTAATCTTTCAGTGGGTATTTTCCTGGGAGCATGATGATCTTAGTTTGAGGAAGACAGGGAGGAGGCAAAAGTGGACCAGGAATAGGTGGGATTCCTCTGGTCCTTCTGTGTAAAGACTGAAGAATCAATAAAAACAATTTCAAAAAATTTCAATAAAAATAAAAGTATTGGGATCAAGTCCTTCAACATGAGCAAAAGTCTGATGGGTAGACACAGGGGTACTTGTCCAACCATCAGGAGCAGCAAGAACAATGGCTAAGAGGTAGTTTAGGAGCTCCAGAGTCAAGAAAGAGTTCTGTAGTTACAATATGTAGTTACATATTACACTACATACTATAATTTGGGGGAATGAGACAACTATGTTTAGAAATTTTAGGGATGGATAGAAAAGTATTTTCCTTTTTAGACAGAGTCTCATGTAGCCCAGACTGGCCTCAAATTCATTATGCTGCTGAAGATAACCTCGAACTTCTGATCCTCTTGCCTCTACTTGCCAAGTGGTATTACAGGCAGGTGCCACCACAACAACATTCACACAGTGCTGGAGATCCCACCCAGGACCTTGTGCATGCTAAGCAAGCACTCTACCTACCATACCTCTAGTCCCCCAGACACTATAACACTATATATATATATGTGTGTGTGTGTGTGTGTGTGTGTGTGTGTGTGTACATATACATGTACACATACATATACATACACATACATATTCAAGACAGGGTTTCTCTATGTAGCCTTGGCTGTCCTGGAACTCACTGTAGACCAGTTTGTCCTCAAACTCACAGAGATCCACCTGCCTCTATTTCCCGAGTGCTGGGCTTAAAGGCAGGAGCTACTATCACCCAGCTCCAAAAGACTATAGTCTTTTTTTTTTTTTTTTTGGTTTTACGAGACAGGGTTTCTCTGTATTGTTTTGGAGGCTGTCGGTCCAAGACTATAGTCTTGAGAAGAGGCTTTGAAGGATTTTGTTCCCCTTGAGATTTGTAGTTGATAATTTAACTTTCTTTTAACTAGGATGCTGACTCAGGGATTTTCTTAAATGGTTTCAACCTCATCTTTTCTCACACAATTATGCCCTAACAAAAATCAACGTGGGTTTGGGGACACACAATTGTAATCTCAGCACTCAGGAGGTGGAGGGAGAAGGATCAGGAATTCGAAGCCAGCATCTGCTACGTGAGTTCAATACCATATCTCAAAAACAGCAGAGTGCGAAGATGCAGGCCTTTAATCTCAGTATTGAAGAGGAAGAAACAGATGGATCTCTATGAGTTCTAGGCCAGCCTGGTCTGCATGGCAAGTTTCAGGCTAGCCAAAGCTACATAGTATGATTTTGTCACAAAACAAACAACGAAAAATTCAGCAACAGCAAAATGGACATAAAGCTACTTTCCCCAACTGTGTAGTTTAATTCTTTCTTTCCTTCCCTCTCTCTCTTCCCCTTTATTCCGACTCCCCCTAACCCCCACCCCCCACCCCCCACCCCCCGCTCCCGTCACCCTTTCCATCTCCCCTCTCTCCTTTCATAGTTCTAAAGGGTACAGAAAAATTCTGGGCTGCAGAGAATCCTCATTAAACACCACCTCTACAACTATCTGTATTCCAAACTAGTGTGTATAAAAAATGTAAGTTCGTTTCATGAAAATGGCTATCACTCAAAGGTGTTAGCACTCATAAAAGATAGTAACAACTTTTGTTTGTTTGTTTGTTTGTTTTTAGAGACAGAGTTTCTCTGTATAGCCCTAGCTGTCCTGGAACTCTGTAGACCAGGGTAGTACCGAACTCCAGAGATCCTCCTACCTCTGCCTCCTGGAGCCGCCACCATCCGGCTTCGTTTTGTTTTGTGATTTGTTGTTTGTTTTTCGAGACAGACTTCTTTCTGCCCTGGAGTTCATGCTCTTTGTAAATCAGATTGGCTTCGAACTCCGAGATCCTCCCAAGGCTGGGATTAAAGACGGACACCAACAAGGATCGGCTAAAGATATTATGTCATCAAATATCTAGGTGGGTTTTTCTGTTATTTGAGGCTGGGTTTTATGCCGCGAACTCATGAGGTTCCTAGTAGCCAAGGTTGATTTTGAACTCCTAATCCTAATGCCTTCTTCTCGCAATTGCTGGAATTACAGGCTGTCACTTCACCCAGTTTAAACACACACACACACACACACACACACACACACACACACACACACACACACACACACACACGATTATATATGTAATTAATTTTTAAGATGCATTTCCCTAAAATGACATGAGAGTTATGTGTGGCACATTAAATATGGCAAGCCATGGCTACTTACTTTTGGGCTGGGGAAAGAGTTAAATTCCTAAGAATGCTTCCGTTTCCCATCATCTAGAAAGGGTGTGAAGTACATACACCTGTCTGTAATCCTGTACTTAGGAGGAGGAGACAAGAGAGATACGAATACAACATCTCCCACATGGTCTAGCGGTTAGGATTCCTGGTTTTCACCCAGGCGGCCCGGGTTCGACTCCCGGTGTGGGAATGTTACCCTTTTGAGCAGGCTGATTTCTGATATTCTTAAACTGCCCGTCTCAAAGGTAACTTAAACACGTAAATAAATGAACTAACAATAAGGGAATATATATATGTGTATTATACATATATACACATATGCGTCTAAAACGTAGTAGAAGTTTCTTTGAAAGTCTATTGCTTCTGCCATTGACAAAGTACTTTTCACTTGTTAGATAATAAGTGACTACTAATAAGCTTTATTTCCTTTTGCAAATTCTTATTGGATATAGCTTACTGGTTTCACAGTAGGAAACATGAAGTGAATGATTTGCTTGATTCTGATCTCTAGCAAGTAAGAGAGTCGGAACTGAGGTATTTCCTTATTATCTGGGGGAAAGGAGGGAGGGAGAGGAAGAGGGAGGGAGGGAGAGAGGGAGAAGGAGAAGAAGTATGAGTGAAAGTAAAACCTTTTGGGGTTGAATAAAGAACATTAGAAATGCACCACACTCTATAAGGCTAGGGTGTCAATCCTTACGCCCTGAGCGGGAGGATTGCCAGGACTACATAGCAGATATTGTTTCAAAACTAAACTAAATTAAGAATGTTACATATTTCTCGGAGGAAGTGGTCCTCTTTTAGAGGGGAAGGTGCGGAAGATAATTAAAATGAAGTATCCTCAGGAACCCCGTCTCGCTTTGCACCCCCGCCCCTTTAACTGGGGCTCTTCCCACTCGTCTCCCGCTCTGCGTCGGCCTCCTTCACCCTCAAAGTGATTAGGAGAATGAGCCCGGTGGTTCAAGTGAGCGTCTCGGCGCCAAGTCCTCTGTATACTCACCAGCCACTTTGAGATGCGTAGCGGCCTCCTCGGAGTTGTCGTTATCTTTGAAAGAGCACCGGTACTCGCCCTGGTCAGAGATCCTGACACCTCGGATCCGCAGAGTAACATGACCACCTGGGAGTCCGTCGGTCACCAATGACGCTCTCCCGCGGTACTCGGTCATCTGCTGGCCTTTCTGCTCCTGGCCAGCCCGGTAAAGAAGCACCGCTGGCGACCTAGTCTGTCGAAACCACCGCAGCTCCTCCATGTGCTCCGCGCTCGCGTTTGTGGAGAAGCGACAGGTCAGCTCAACATCTGAGCCCACTAAGGCCAGCACTGGCTCTTGAGGTGCGATCGCATCCAAGGGAGCTGCCAGAATCGATAAGGTCAGATGGGACGATGGGTTGGCATATGGAGGACCTACAGAACATGCTTCTAGTAAAGAAAGAAGCTCAAGCGGTCTACTATTCCTTTTGTTGTTTTGTTTGTTTTTCCTACTGGATCTTACAAATCCCAAGCTGGCCAGCAGCTCACTGTGCAGCCTTGATTCTCAACTCTCAACTAGCATTGCAGGTGACCACCACACCCAGCATTCCAATTCCTTTGATTTAAAGAAAGAACAACTAGGATCTCCCTACGTAGCACCAGCTGGCCCGACTCTCTATGTAGACCAGACTGGTTCTGAATCCAAAAAGATCGTTTCTGTAGTCTTTGTAGTGGGGCTGCACCACCACCTGGGTGCATTTACTTTGATCCACTGAAATCTGCTGGAGGCCCCCACTTGGAGCCAAACTGGGTCACTGACATTTATAGGTACCTTCCAACCTTGCAAGAAAGAGATGGCTAGAACAGAGACGTACCTGAATCCAGAGTAGGTAGCTGCAGGACCAGGAGGGTGAGCAGACAAGCCAAGAGGAACGGGTTGGGGGAAACTGCCATTTCCAACCTTGATGGGGCAACAGGTTGCTGACCGAGTCTGCCAGGAGCTTCAGGCTTGGGAGTTAAATGGTCAGGGGGTAACTATTGGCTCAGCAAGCGCCCTATTCTCCACCAGTTCTTTCCAACCCGGAGGGCTCTGTGTCTCCCCCGCAGGGTAATTTTAGTCCATGATACAACAATGCCCATTCACACCCTTCTCTACGGCTGTTCAGGTGTGCACAAAATAGCAAACCCTGTCCTACAGCCCTCAATGGTCTCCAGAAGGGAGCTCTGAGGCACAGCTGCAGGTAAATAAATGTTGGAATCTCTGCATTTACAAGAAAAAGGAGACGGAGAAAGAGAAGAGAAAGAAGAAATAAAATAGAATCGTATTGAGTAGAATAGTTTGTCATTCTTGCCTAGAAACAATAATAAAGACGACGACATGGAGGTAGAAATGGATAACATGAAATGAAATAGAGGAGGAGAGAGAAAAAGATGGGAAGTGGTGTTTCACACCTGTAAGCCCAGCACCCTGGAGGATCTCTGTGAGTTACACAGTGAGCTACATACAATCCTGCCTGGTCTAGAGAGAAGAGACAGGAAGAGCTTAAGAGCTTGAGTAACAGAAAACTTAGCACAGAGAAGCTGGACAACGAGCTGTGTTATTCTGTGCCTCGGTGAGTTGAGTGAAGCACCTACCGACTTCGATGGTCACGGAGGAAAAAGGAACACGACTCAGAGTGACCAAGGGAAAAAGCTGCCTGTGGCCCAGGGCCAAAGTTAGAGCCAGCAGAAGGAAGGGGGTGGTGGGCTGTTAAGGAAGCCTGCTCCTACGTGGCCAAGTGTGTTTACTTAGGAAAAAAAAGTTCTCCAAAGTCCTGAACTATGGATTGGTGCTCTGGCGGTTCAGATTCATCTCTCAGAGAACAAACAGTATATGCATTGAAGAGCTGGACTGCTTATAGAGACTAGGGACAAAAAGACAGAAACCCTGACTAACCAAAATGAGACGTGAGGCCATCTGCCGGTTAATTTACCCCTGTATCTCCCGTTCTTTTTACAGTGAAAATTACAATAAGCCCAGTGTGTTGGCTCACCCATGTAAGTAAGTTCAGGACTCAGGAGGCAGGAGGATTCATTTTAAGTTTCAGGCCAGTCTGGGTTACATAGAAAGATCGAGGCTTGCAAGAGCTGCTTGAACAAAACAAAAGAGAACTGTTTTTTTCTTTTTTTCTTTTTCTTTTGTGTGTGTGTGTCTTTTACAATTGTTGTGAGGTTTTGTTGTTGTTTGTTTTCTTTTTAAGAAAAAGAATAATGCTAGAAATACCTTGTTTGAGTTATGCTGAGAAAAAACCATTTGGAAGAGTAATTGAAGCAAAGCAGATAAAAGGAGTCCCCAAAGTAAATTGCTTTATCATTACATTTGTGAATAATTAAAGGTTGACTCCAGAGCTCCATCGCTGATCTCCTGTACCAGACACTCTCGGGAATGGCTGTGTGGGTGGCAGCATTCCACGGGACACCCACCTTTAAGGTGGTACAACTGCACAGCTCATAAGGACTTGAGCCTCTCTCTGCCAAAGTCACTCATGAGACCAGCAATTCCTTATTTTGTTTAGAATTTCCGTTTATTACAGAAAAATGGGAAAATGAAGAAAAACAATTTTATTTACAAAATCACCATGAAACCATCCATTAATGATAGTTGACACATATTGCTCTGGTATTTATTTTATATTTATGTACATCATAGAAACAATCAGTAAGTTTTCCTGAGTAATTCAAAGCATTGCTAAAAAAAAAAAAAGTGTGTAATTGCCAAGATTGTGGGATGTTTGGGTTTTTTTTCCTATTATAAATAATGTACTTGGCTCAGTTTGACCCAGCACTGCTTAAAATTAGGCATGGTGGCTCATACTGATCTTAGGTAGAGGCAGGAGGATCAAACTTATTTTGGGGGGTGGGGGGGGCAGAGTATTGCTTTGGAGCCTGTCCTGGAACTAGACCAAGCTGGCATCGAACTCACAGAGATCCACCTGCCTCTGTCTCTCAAGTGCTGGGATTAAAGTCGTGCACCACCAATATCCGGCTTGCTGATCAATAATTTAAAACCATTTACAAATATAGAATAGATTTGAAGTTAGCCTGAGCTGCTTAAGACCTTGTTAGAAGCTCTGTGCGTCATCCTTCGATAGCTCAGTTGGTAGAGCGGAGGACTGTAGGGGAAATCACTGTGGGTATCCTTAGGTCGCTGGTTCGAATCCGGCTCGAAGGATGAATGTTTTGTGGTTAAAAAAGCAAGTAGAATAAAAAAAGAAATGCGTAATTCTTTGTTCATAAGTTTGATAAATTCCTAATATGTTGTGTGATCCAACTCTGTAAGAGGTACCTTTCATAAACATGTTATCATACTGCTTCTACCAGAGTACTTTAACTCTGCCAGTAAGAAGTTATATATGAAATTTATTAAATTATTATTACTATTTTTATCAAGCCTTTTTTTTTTTTTTTTTTTTGGTTTTTCGAGACAGGGTTTCTCTGTATTGTTTTGGAGGCTGTCCTGTAGACCAGGCTGGCCTCGAACTCACAGAGATCCGACTGCCTCTGCCTCCCAGGGGATTTTAAAGGCGTGTACCACCAACACCGGCTTTTATTAAGCCTTTCTATGATAGCAAGACTGGTCATTTTTCATGTATTACCAAACCACTTGGTGTAGTCTAAATTGCAGCTGTCCAGGCCAGTCTCTCTCTCTCTCTCTCTCTCTCTTTCTCTCTCTCTCTCTCTCTCTCTCTCTCTCTCTCTCTCTCTCTCTCTCTCTCTCTCTCTCTCTCTCTCTCTCTGTATGTGTTTGTGTGTGTGTGTTTTGGTTTTTCGAGACAGGATTTCTCTGTATTGCTTTGGAGCCTTCCCTCTGTAGATCAGGTTAGCCTCAAACTCACAGAGATTCACCTGCCTCTGCCTCCCGAGTGCTGGGATTAAAGTCGTGTGCCACCAACGTCCAGGTGTGGGTATTTTAAAAATTAAAGTATTATATTTGGAGTCTGGGGAGATGTCTCAGCAATTAAGAGCACTGGCTTCTCTTGTAGAGGGCCCAGTTTCAGTTCCCAGCACCCACATGATACCTCACAACATCTGTAACTAAAGTTCTAGGGGCCTCCTGGGATACCCACACACATATGACAGACATACGGGCATACACATAAATGAAAATAATAAATTGAAAACAAAATTTAAAATATCTGCCTTATATTTTTAACAAAATTCCTTCTCAATTTTATTCTTCTTTTAATTATTATGATTAATTTCAAGGCTAGCTACCCTAGTTGGCCCACTGGGCTGCCAGTATGTGGGTTGTTCCCAAGCACAAATCAGGTTATACTAAATTTCTCTGTGTGTTAAGAACTGGTAAGAGGGCTTAGAAGGCAACAATCCCTGCATGTCTAATTGTCAATCAGAAATAACACATTCATCTTGTTCATACCTATAGGATATGTATATTATCAAAATAGTCCTGAATTCTTGCCTCATCAGTTGTGGGTGATTTGTGTTTTAAAATGATTCACATAACACATTGAAATATTACATACTGGCTTAGCAGATTGGACGATAAAGATATTGTCAGTTGGGCTGCAAAGATGTTTCAGCAGTTAAGAACATGGACTGCTCCTGTAAGGACCTGTGCTGAGTGGCCCATGACCACCTGTAACTCTAGCTCCCAGCGCTCTGATACCCTCTTTGGACTCCTTGAGTATCTGTACTCATGTTCACAAACCCACACTTAGGCATACACGTACATACACAATTAAAAATAATAAAATAAATCTTTGAAAAATATTACTGCCAGGCAGTGGTGACCCAAAACAAATTCATATGAGATTATTCTGTGTGTGTTATTTTTTTCCTTTCAATGTGTACTTTGTAGATGACAAAGATTCCCAGTGTCAAAAAGTTGGCAAAAGGGAAAAGTCTTTTGTTGTGGGAAATTTTGATCAAACGGTGATACTCCTGAGACTGCTCAATAAAGTTATACCTTGAATCAGAGAGTGGAGTGAGTGACTTGCTGACCAGAATTGGTCATAGGGAAGCCCAGGAAGGAAAGGGTGGGGGCTAGCGTCTGAGCTCTCTTGGTTCTGGAACAAATGAACAGATGTGTCTCGTACAGTTTCTCTGGCCAAAAAAAGCAAGGTCAGCTAGTTGCTACCCAGCCTCTGTGAGCTAGCAAATTTTCACCCCAGCCTTGGACTTCTGAGTCTTATTGATAAATAGAATTATAGACACTTAATTTAAACCTACATATCGAGGTCGTGGCAGAGCCGTGGCAATGGGACTGAGGGGCAGTAGGCGATAATTAAAATATCAGTAGATTCGTGTACAGCCTACAGAAAATACCAGTCTCTCTTTTTTTCTACATCCTTCCTGCTCTCTCACCAGCAGGCAGGACTTGGGACTGGAGTGGCTACTCAAACCACCACCTCCAGATAACAGTGCTTATCTTCCCTCTTCCAGAGCATTCTGCCCCTTCTTGCCTGCATGATTAATTCCTCTTCCTCCCTCAAAAGTCATTTAAGGGTGGTAACTTCTTCAACTTCTTCCAGAAGCAAACAAATAAGACTATTCTTTTTTATGGGGGTGGGAGGGCTGGATCTTATAACCCAGGCTGACACCAGGAGCAGCTGAAGATAACCTTAGAGTGATTCTCCTGCCCCCACCCCCCAAGGTTGCGATTACAGGTATGTGCCACCAAGCTGGCTGCACATCACTTTATTATTTCATTTTGTTTGTTACATTTTGCCCTTTTTAGTGTGTGTGTGTGTGTGTGTGTGTGTGTGTGTGTGTGTGTGTGTGTGCGAGCATGCTGGAGGTTGAACTCAAGGCCTCCTGATGCTGTGCACATATTATACTGCTCAGTTAAACCCACACAGGCTTTTGTAGTTTTGTTTTTGCTTTGTGTTTTGCTTTGTTTCTTATTCTTGTTCAGAATCATCAGGTGATGAGGAAGCAGCCAGCTGTGGGACACTTCTGGTTAAACTGAGCCAAGAGGAAGGGCTGGGGTGAGCAAGAACCATGCAAGTTGTTAGCTGGTTTGCCATTGAACTTCACGGCTCTTTTAGGGGGCACACAGGATTAGCACAAACCACATATGACCTTACGACATTTTGACAACACAATTCTGAAATAATGCTCCTATTTACCAACTGCAAGCAACCTACGGAGGGAGAAATGGGTCAGCTAATGTTGTGGTCAACTTCCAAGAGAGAGAGTTGTAACCTAAAACTCCAAAAACAATTATTACCATCTCGTTCCTTTCTGTACTTATCTCCAAAATGCTGTCAGATTTGTATTTGTTTTTAAATTATCCTGGGGCTTAGAGATCCTGGGGGGTGAAGCTCTGCCTCCGCGTGCAGTGAAGGCACAGACCATGTGTGTACCGGCTCTGTGGCAACAGTGGGGCTTATAAAAGTCTCGTTGTTTGTAGAAAAAATGGGGACAAGGAAGACTCAGACTTTTCCAAGCACCTTTCTTAGTTTCTCTGGAAAGTGAGCAAGACTAAAAACCAATTATCAGGTGAGTTACGTATGTGGCAACCAGATGCATTTCTGGGAATGTGTGTCTAAAACTCACAGTGAAACAACTGTTCCCTCCTGGGAGTGACTGTTTATTAATACATCATGAATATCCTCTGTGTCTCAGCTTTTGTTCTTAGAAATCTGGGGGAAGTTCCTTTTGGCTTCAGAAGTCAAGAGTTTACTGTATCTGAGAACTCAAAATGGGGAGCCAAGTTTGGGGTGGGTGTTGTATGTAAATTCTGGGAGGGTTCTGAGCACCTGCCTGTTGGCCCAGGTCTACCAGCTGCCCAATTAGGGTTTGTCAGTGCTGTGGGGCCCGGATTGGAGACACAGCTCCACAGTGTCACCTACAGCATCCTGAAGAAGTTTTTCTTTTGCAGATACTCAAGTGAAGATGGGATTTTTTTTTTTATAGGAGAATCGCTTCTTTTTATTGTAGTTCAGGACGGGGCGGGGTCAGTCCCGGTTCCCCCACTCCCACCCCCCACCCCCCCAGGGCTGGACAGCAGGATTTGCAGGGCCAGGGATAAGGTCTCGCCGGGGTAGCTCGGTCCCAGGGGACGCCATACGGGTGAGACAGACTGAGGCTGAGGAGGCTTTAAATAGAGGAGGGGGGGTGGGGAGGGAGAGTCGGTGCGCTCTAGCGCACGGTGTATTCCTTTCGCTTATTGAGCCAAACTTGGCAGAAGGAGAAGCCTCCGAGAAGGAGGCAAAGGCCCGAGGCGATGAAGCAGTTGTAGCTGACTTGCTCGTACAGGCTGTATATGTTCTGAGGGCCGTTATCAAAATCTTTCTCTGTGAAGGGAACGTCCTCAATTAACACGGCAGAGTGGACATTGAAAAATACCCCTAGCATTATCAACATGGTCACTCCCCAGGCACTGAGGACGATGCCACAGGCGGCCAGTTTAGGCCCACAGGACAGGAGCGACGCCATGGAGGAGGGAGGGAGGGAGCTCTAGAGACTGAGCGAGGAGCAGAAGCGGCGAGAGGGAACCCTCGAAGATGGGATTCTTGACTTCATGACATAAAGGAACTTTAAAATGAACCAACGTGAAGCAGAATGGAGTTTCTTAGGAAGACATTTTAACATAGATTTAAAATTTTGTTTATTACATTCCCTTTTTTGATTGATTGATTGATTGATGAGTGGGACAGATGAGTGTAGGAGAATGTGCATATAGAAGTTAGAGGACAACTTTCAGGAATCAGTTCTCTTCTTCACATGAGTCCCAGGCACTGAACTTTAAGTTGTCAGCCTTGGTGGTGAGTAACGTTAACTGCTGAGTCTGTAGCATAGAGTTAAGCGAAGGGAATAATAGGAAGAGAGGCAACTAGCGAAAGGAAAAGACACACTCAAATATGAATGTGGGTATCTCAAGAGAGATTTACACTTACATGTGTTACCAGTAGCCACATAAATGATTTTTAGTGACTCTCAAGTTACATCTCAACGGGTTGCTAGGAAATTTCTTTTTCCTCTCCTTTTCTCCTCTCTTTTGATAAATGAAATTAATATAAATGTGTTTCTTGTGAGATTCTTAGAAAATTGTAGATTTACAGCTGGGAAAATTCATATATGCCAAGGTCTAGGCATGACACAGGCTATTTTATCATTCTAACTCGAAACATCTCTATATAAAGGAAATGTGGTGTTTGTGTAGACATCTTTTGCTGCCAGTGTTAAACTGTACTGGAGTTCTCAACCAGACTCTGATGAGAGGCTTACTGCCTTTCCATGGGCATTGGGAGGGTTGGCATGCCTTTTTTTTTTTTTTTTTCTACTTTCCTTGTCTAGGATTCTGGAGTCTGCAACCTGTCCTGTGGCTACCACCTGAATTGCTAAACCAACAATTTACTGAGTGATACTGGGCTGGGATCTGAGGTAGGTGTGTGTGTGTGTGTGTGTGTGTGTGTGTGTGTGTGTGTGTGTTGGGTCCATTGTTATTGACTCCATTCTATCTTGACTTAAGGTCAGAGAGTTCAAACCTATTCTTGCTCCTCAATGTTAAACAACAGGGTTATTGGCTCAAGGTATGGCTATTGGATGTCTTGACCATCGAGACCAAATTACAGGATATTTGATTTAGTGCATGGTGACAAGATGTTCTAGGTACTGGGAAGGTAATTAGGTTTGTTTGTTTGTTGCATCATGCTGAGGAAGTCTTTTGCCCTCCCCTTTTGATTGGAGCATATAAGAGGTATGAGTAATAAACTTGGGGCTTTTTACAGTATTCATAGAGAGCTCTCCCAACTCTTTCTGTCTCTTGTCTATTTCTTTCCTCAATCTTCACTCCCCTTCTCAGGAACATATGGACAAGTCAGCCAGACCTGGTGTGTGTGTGTGTGTGTGTGTGTGCGCGCGCGAGTGCGCGCTCGCGCGTGCGCGCGCGAGCGCGGCTGGAAGAAGCCTTTTGGTATGACTATGGTTGAGAGCCCACTGGAGCAGTGAGGGTTGCTGAGCTTTGGAACTCAAGATGACCAGACCAACAAGACCTGCTGGAGCAGTATGTCCTCACCTTTTAAGGATCGGGCTGCACAGAACCTTGCGATCAGCTCCTGTGGGGGTTTGTTTAGTGCCACCTCCAGGTCTCCTCAGAGTATGAACACAACAGCACAAGGTCTTCTAGAACCCCAGAAACATCCATTTCTAACCCTTCTCTCTATATTTCAAGCCTTAGTCTTTCCTCTCCAGCTTCTTGGTGAGACCTAGTTACTACTTGGATGGGAGAAATGAATTTAACAAAAAGAAGATGCAAAATTATGGAAACAAAGCAGTGGCATACAAATAAGTTATGTACAGAAAAATGTTTTACATTTTTTGGAAAGTGCTACCATGGGTAAGCTTATCTCGTTACAGTTCTCAACATGTAACAATTAGTGTTAGTGAGCTTCCTCCTGCCATGACAAAATACCCAAGATAACTTAAAAAGGAAAGATTCGAGTCTAGTCATGGTTTCTTAGACCTGTGGTTACCTTTGAGTAAGACAATCGTCATGGCTGAGAGGTCATGAAACTGTTTAGCTCTTCTGCCATCCATACACGCACAAATCTCCAACAGAACTCTCCCACACCTCTCACAGCTCTCCCAGACCTCTCACCCTCCTGGCTGGTGGTTAAATCTCCGGCACCAGAATGGGGGGGGGGATCAAAGTCAATGGCGTTTCAGTGAGAGCCCTTATAGCCCTTATCAGGAGCTTATGGCACTGAATTGTTTTCAGTAAACATGTTTTCAGTAAACATTATCTTGCAGCTGCCTGCTCCCAGGCTGATGGAGGGATGGGTTTCCGGCCAGGGTCTGTGATCCCCACACTTGTCCAGGAAGCAAAGAGAGGTTAGAGGCTGGAATTCCTTCAACACAATGACCAGTGACCTGCTTTCTCCCAGTCCCTTGGGGGACACTGCAGATCTGATACACACTGTAGTACCTCCCCTGCCAGTGCAAGCTCGCTGCAACGCACCAACAGAAGTAAGGTCTGAATGATGACATGGTGACAGAAAAGTAAGGAGGGAAGGAAACTGCAGTCCTTGTACAAATGGGATGTAACAAGTTAGAGTGAGCCAACGGAGGGAAAAGGCATTGACTATACCCGTGTATTTCTCTGAGATTGGGGCCAGTTTTTGGTGTGTTATGCACTTAAATCTCTCTCCCTTAATGGTATTAAACGTGGATATGGGGAGAAATGGAATATGAATAAAGTTCATTCCAGGATTAGCCAAAAGCATGAGCTAGTTCTCAGGATGCAGACAGTCTGTAAGCAGAAGAGATGCTGTACTAGCAAAGAGTGGCTGGGTATGAGGCATGGAGGACAGTAGTTAGCATGGAGGTGTCTGTAGATAATGGTGATGGAGGCAGCTGATGGTGTCTGGGAAACAGGAAGCTGAGGCTCATTAAATAATGTCTCCAAAGTGAGAGAGGAGAAGACAAGACAAAAGCACTTTTTGAAACTATTGACCTGATGTTGAAGACACAGGGGCTGGTCAGGGCCATCCAGAAGACAACAACACTGGTTAGAGTCCTAACCAGAATGTCTCAATTGCTACTGCCTTAGTCAGGGTTAATATTACTGTGATGAAACAGCATGAAGAAAAATCAAGTTGGTGAGGATAGGGTTTATTTGAGATACACTTATACACTATAGCTCATCAAAGGAAGGGAGTCAGGACAGGAACTCAAACAGTGCAGGAACCTGGAGGCAGGAGCTGATACAGACACCATGGAGGAGTGCTACGTACTGGCTTATTCCCCATAGCTTGCTCAACCTTTCTTACAGAACCCAGGCCCACCAGCCCAGGGGTGGCCTCATTCACAATGAACCCAGGCCTTCCACATCAATCATTAGTTTAAAAAATTCCCTGTAGGTGCCGGGTGGTGGTGGCGCACGCCTTTAATCCCAGCACTCGGGAGGCAGAGGCAGGTGGATCTTTGTGAGTTTGAGGCCAGCCTGGTCTACAAAGTGAGTTCCAGGACAGCATCCAAAGCCACAGAGAAACCCTGTCTCGAAAAAAAAAATTCCCTGTCTTTTGGAGGTATTTTCTTAGCTGACACTCTACATTACAGTGACTCTAGCTTGTGTCAAGTTGGCATAAATTAGCCTGCACAGCTGCCATGCTGGAGACCCTTCCATTTTTGAATCTCCTGTTAGCCTGTCCAGCAGAACCTAAAGGAGAGCTGGAGTTTGCTACCTTGTTGGATGTGTGCCTAGAGACAAGAACATTCATCTGCGGAATTCCCGAGTGCTGTTTCAGCGTACCTCTGGTCTACTTTCACCTCTCGCTCTGTGCCCTGCGGCTTTCCCTGCACTCATTCTGTGCTCCTTCTCTTCTCTCCAGGACAAGAAGCTGTTTCCTGCCACACTCTTGCCTGACTCACTTATCATTGCATCCTCCTGAAATACAGTTGGCCTAAAGCTCACTACAAAGTCCCCCACAATCTGTCAATCCAGTTTTCTCCCAGTTTTGTTAAACCTGATTCTGTAGATGACAAGTGACAGCTGCAGCCTCAAGAGAAGGAGACAGGAGAGGATAAACAGCAAACACCATTGGATGGAGCAAATGGCTGCTTGAGGGGATGGACTCTGTTGTCAACCATTACTCAGGGCACATTGGATTGAGCAGGTACTGGACATATGGTCAGGGGAGTCCTACCACAAGACCACAAATAGAATAGATGACAAACATGGGATTCATCACTTGTGTTATAAAAGGGGACAGTTCCTGAATCATAGTCCAGGGAAATCCCAACCTGACCAGGAGCTTCTGGCAGGGAGAGAAGAACCCAAGGGAGTCTGAGGGCCCAGTATTCCTCTTGAGACAACTCCATGACCCAGAAACCATTCCTGGGAGACATGGGGATAAATCCTTTCTTCAGGACGTTCTCTCTACATAACTCTCACCAGCCAGTCAGTCCTACTTGCCACCTCCCTGAATTAAAGGTTTCCCGGTCTAACACAGGGTTAGGTGTCAAATCTCTCTGGTGTAGAAGGGAGTGCCTAATGTGAGTCTTCCAGGTGAACTGCTTTTGAATCATTGCTAAGGACTAGGTGGGGGTAAGCTGTTTTCTCATCTGGAATCACATTAACTGGAGGAAAAGAGAAAGTGCATCAGTGAATGCCAGTTGAGAGATAGCCTATCCCACCTTCTCTAAAGATATGCAGCCATGTTCTAGGAGCTGGCAGGTATTTCAGGGAAGAGATGCCTGCTCACAGCCTCTATCCCCCCATCAGCAGCCACAGGTAATATAAAAGATGACAGCATCCGGGGTTTGCTGTGCTTTACATCACCCTGTCACATGGAGCTGGTCTCTGGGCCATCCTCCAAAGGCCCTTTAGGAGTTACAAGGAACTACCAGACTTCCCCCCACAATTAGAATTCTCTGTGTGCACTACTATAGGCTTATCAATAGTTTCACTTCTTTGGGCTCTTGGGAGGTGTGTGTGTTTTAATGACAATGGCCCCCACGGGTTCCTATGTTTTGAACACTTGGTCCCCATTTGGTGGAAACCGTTTGGGATGGGTTAGGAGGTGTGGTCTTGTTGGAGGAGATGTGTCACTGGGCTTTGAGGTTTCAAAAGACTTGTGCCATTCCTAGTGTGCTCTCTGCTTCCTTACCTGCTGCCCCAGTACCATCCCTGCCTGCCAACTGCCATGCTCCTTGCCATGATGGTGACAGATTCCTATACCTTCAAATAGTTGCCTTGTCATGGTGTTTTATCACAGCAATAGAAAAGTAACAAATACAGGAGATTAGAGTTCAGAAAAAACAGTGAGAAAACTGACCTGCATATATCCATGCCAATCTCCATTCTACAATAAAACAGAAATGGAGCCAACTACCATGTTAGGGAGAGAATATTTAGTGATCAATAATAAATAAAAGGGAAGAATGTTAGTATTCAGGCATCTGTTCCGGCCTACTCTTGGGGTTCTGACAGGATATACACTTAGCTGCAGTCACTAAGAACACTACCTGTGTACATTTACTATGCTCTCTCTGTGTCTGTTCCTTTCTCTCTCTGCTTCTCTGCCTCTCTTCCCACCACCCCTTGCTTCTCTCCTCTCTTCTGCTGTTTCTGTCCCCAGAGGAAGGTCTCTCCTCTCCCCTCCCCTTTTCCCATTCACTTTCCCCCAGTAAAAATCCCCTCCACCCAAGTGCTGTCAAATGGCATCTTTCTCTCCAGCAGCTTTTTAAAATTATAACACCAAGCCGGGCGTTGGTGGCGCACACCTTTAATCCCAGCACTCGGGAGGCAGAGGCAGGCGGATCTCTGTGAGTTTGAGGCCAGCCTGGTCTACAGAGCGAGTTCCAAGACAGCTTCCAAAGCCACAGAGAAACCCTGTCTCGAAAAACCAAAAAAAAAAAAAAAAAAAAAAAAATTATAACACCAAAGACAAGGAAAAACAAGTCAAGAGTTTATGAGCTTTTCTATAAAATGAACAAAATACTTCAAAGGCCTCCTAAAGCTAGAAAAGTTAGGAAGTAGAAAAAAGTAGAATGCCCAGATACAGTCAGGGCAGCTACCAGCTACAAGTATATCTGATGTAGCATCAGCCATAAAAAAAGGATATTTACACCGGGCGTTGGTGGCGGATGCCTTTAATCCCAGCACTTTGGAGGCAGAGGCAGGTGGATCTCTGTGAGTTCAAGGCCAGCCTGGTCTATGGAGCTAGTTCCAGGACAGCCTCCAAAACAATACAGAGAAACCCTGTCTCGAAAAACAAAACAAAACAAGGATATTCATTCATTTATTTGTTTGTTTGTTTATTTATTTTGGTTTTTCAAGACAGAGTTTCTCTGTATTCTTTTGGAGCCTGTCCTGGAACTTGCTCTGTAGACTAGGCTAGTCTGGACTCACAGGGATCCACCTGCCTCTGCCTTCCGAGTGCTGGGATTAAAGGCGTGTGCCACCAACACTGGGCTGGATATTTATTCTTATGAAATAACATGGATATTCTTGTTGGTCTGTAAGTAGTTCTTCAGATGGCCAGAGACTATTGCTCCATCTCTGCTCAGTGAAAGGCAACAAGAGGTCAACAGTGCTTGCTTCAGACATCACCACAGTCTGGAACAACAGTGTCCACCTGTTGTGAAGCAGTTTCTTCTGAGATCACAACCTTCCATTGCAGTGAGATATCCACGCCACTCATCTGCAACCCACCCCCATCCCCACCCTCCCCCACCCCGGTCGTGCTGATAATACCTGCCTGTTTGGTCAAGGTTAGGACTAGGTCTGGGGTCTTGACCCCAGCTCCTGCTCTTCCTTCCAGTAGGGTCACAGAGAGCAGCCTGGGTGGATCCTTGGAGCGGGAGTTTGCAGTGGTCGTCTGTTCCTTGTGTAAGTACCTTCTCCCGGAATAAAATTATATTGACTTATATTGAGCCTCATCCCATGAATCTTGATCTGTGCTTCCATGTTCCATCTTGGAGGAAGCTCATTAAGATACAGGATGTTAAGAGAAGAACAACACATATACTAAGGCACTGCTTCTCAGACTGTAGGTCATGACCCCTTTGCAGGTTGGATGACCCTTTCACAGGATCACCTAAGATCATTAGAAAACACAGATATTTACATTATGATCCATAACAGTAGCAAAATGACAGTTATGAAATCATGAGGTAGCAATGAAAATAATTTTATGGTTGGGGTCACCACAACATGAGGAACTAACTGTATCAGAGGGAGGCCGCAGTAGGAAGATTGAGAACCACTGTCCTAAGGGGAGGTGAAAGTTTCTGTCCTGTAGGGAAGCTTGTTAAACAACTCAATAGCTTCAGGAAGTCCCTGAAACTGACTAGATGCACTAGGGCCCTCCCTTCCTAAATATATATAAGCTGAAAGTACTGGAGGGAGGGAGGGAGGGAGGGAGGGAGGGAGGGAGGGAGGGAGGGAGGGAGGGAGGGAGGGAGGGAGGGAGGGAGGAAAGAAGAAAGACAGAGAGTGCAACTGGTCAGGGCATGACCAGCTGGGGCCTGGGACCCAGTTCTGGAAGAAAGCCTTTGGTTGGCTCTAGCTCCACTGCTGTTGACTGAGATTCAGCTCATTTGATCTTTAAGTTGAGGCTTTTTACAGGAAGACAGTATGTGTCTTTCTCTGGCTAAACATCAAGTTGGTCTGAAAGAAAGGACCTGAAAAGTGCCAACACATGTCGGTGACACATATTCTGAGAAAGACTAACAGAATCTTATTTGGTCAAAGTAGTTGTTTGAATGACTAAACGGTGCTTTTATTGTTTTAAGAAACATGATCTCATAGTAGCCAAAACCTAGTCCCTGCTGTAACCTGCCTCCCTGATCTCCCCACTCATGCATTTGCTAAATGTGTAGATTCTTTCATTCAATAATGATGAACTTCGTCGATGGGGAAGTTAAGATGAAAGAAATCCTTTTCTTCCCTAGTTGCTTTTGGGAATAATGATCACATCAACAGAGAAAGCAAACTGGGGAGGGTGAAATAGACCCACCTCCCCGCCTACTTTAGAGCTGTAACACTAGCAGGCTCTCACCTGATGCTTCTTAGAGCAGCACCAAGCTCCTTTCTCCGGGGATGCAAACCCTCCACTTACTGCGACCCTATCTCTCCAGCTTCTCTCAAACTTCCCTATTCAAGTGGTCCCTGTGGTCAGTAGTGATTCATGAGGACTGTGCTGGTGGGTGTTACAGATGCGGGGACAGAAAGCAGTGCTAGAAGCTTGAGCCTATTTCCTCTCTGGGGTGAAAAGTTGGGGAACTGTCTTTGGGACTCAGGAGAATGAAACACTCAGAACTGAGTGTCTACTGTAGGGACATCTGAGCCAGCTTATATCCAGATCATCACTGTTAATTTTTTCTTCCCATGTGTAGGCTTACAGATATATACTCCAGACATCTTTATTACATGATATAAAAATCTTTGGCTTTGGATATTGATAGACCATTAGGTCCTATCTCCCCACAGCTATCATATGAGGCCTACCCCAAGCTCTGCTCCATTTTCTCCATCTATGGCGTCAATTTGTATTTATCTGTCCCCTTCCTCTGCAGTTCTCTCCTTCTCACATCCTGATGTACCCCATTGCCCTTGCCTTGTCCACTGTGGGCAGAGCATCGTGCTGAGGCTTCAAGCATTCCACCTCTCCCCTTCTCCCACTTTCATCTCCGCAGAGAGCTGTGTGATAGCAGTGGTCCAATAGGGCTGGGTCTTGGCCCATAGTTAAAAGCAAATGAACTACTGAAGGAGTAAACTGGGATTGGATCTGAAATGTGTGGGAAGGGGACAGATGGAAGATGCTCAAGGTGACCTGAAGGATATAGGACCTGCTCTCCACCTGATCATGCTGTGCAGAGGTAGGTGAGAGCTATGGCTTCTTTACATGGCTCTGAGAAACTGGTCTTGTCCTATATAGGATCAGCCCACCCTCAGGGATTGTTACTCCCTGTGCCCCTGTGAATGCTGGGCAGATGAAGAGAGGACTGTCATCAGAGCCAAGCCTAAAGAAGGGTCTCAGGGGTCCATCGAAGGCTACAGGGGGGCATGTGTAGATGTGTGACCTGTCTCTCATGTTGTAGAAAGAAACATCTCCAGCTTCACAGTCCAGGAAGATGGCTACTCGGTGAAGGCGCTCCTTCAGAGGTATGATCGTCTCTGGGGAGGACAGGGCTCTGTACTGGTTTCCAAACATCTCCAGGGTCCAGAAGCCATTCTGAGGAACCAACAGGGCCTCCCCCTTCCTTTCAACACTGTCTCTACAAACGCCAATGGCCCACACCATTACATTTTCCACCTCCACCTCCCAGTAATGCTTTCCTGAGGAGAAGCTCTCCTGGCCCAGGACACATGGCCGGCAGTCAAATCTCTCAGGGTTGTCAGGCAAGCTCTGCCTTGAAGCTCCTCGTCTTACACTTCTCTGGTCATCTGACAGGAAGAGCTCAGGATGAGCTGTATCTGGGTCCAGAACCACATCAGCTGTAGGAAAAGTCTCAGGCTTAGTGCCGAGATCGCAGACTCCTGAGCCTTGTACAACCTCTGGTCCCCCCGGGATATTGGGAGCTGATATGGGATTCCTCTGTGTGGTGGCCTTTTCAAAGAAGGCTTTTTTTTTTTTTAATCCAAGGAAGCTCATTTGTCTCCTAGGAAGACAGGAGGATTATCTTCTACACAGAAGACAGGGGCTCTAAGAAACCCAGAAAGTTCAGCAAATGAGTCAAAGGGAATGCTTCCCACTTTCAGCATTCTCAGATCTGCCCCGTGTCTGCCATAATATAAGATCTCTGGGATTCTCCTAGTAGCTGCCATCCAACTTGGCTTTGACCAACAAGAGAGAGAGAGAGGCTTAATCTCTCACTCTCCCTAATGATGAGTCAGTTAAGGAACTGAAGTGAGTCTCACAACAGAGAGTCCTAGTACTGGATCACTTCCCTGGTCTCTGCATTCCTTCAACCAGCTGACAACTGATTTAAATAACTGATAAGGTTACCCACCAAAGGATACAGAAGGAGAACAAATGTCCCTCAAAGCCAAGCTGAGAGGTGTGTGCAGCAAACATAAGAAGGGAATACTTTCAGCCAGGGTTGAAACTCACAGTAGTGTCCACTGTGGACACAGGAAGTGTTTGCCAACCATCTGCACTATGGCTTGTCTAGGCAGTCAACTTTGCTGATGGGGTTAGAATTGTATCCTCCTTCCCCCCAAGATGGTATGTCTGATTTGGGACAACTTGTAATTATGTCTCAACTAGATTGTGACAGTTTTGAATTTCCCCTTATGGAGCAAAAGTCCTTGTGCCAAGACATCTATATTCTTTGGTGCCTGATGTGGACACATGAGAAAATAACGCTCCGGGCTCTCTCACTCACCTGACTCACCAGAGTGTTAGTATCCCTGTTGGGCCTAAGAAAGGCTTGGATGCTCGGGAGGCAGAGGCAGGCGGATCTCTGTGAGTTCGAGGCCAGCCTGGTCTACAGAGTGAGTTTCAGGACAGCCTCCAAAACAATACAGAGAAACCCTGTCTCGAAAAACCAAAAAAAAAAAAAAAAAAAAAGAAAGGCTTGGATGCAAGGCCCAGTGTAAGCTCCTGAGCCTGACTTGATTTTAGGGCTCGGATGTGAGGCCCAGTGTAACCTCTTGAGCCTGGCTAGAGTTTAGCAACCTGTCTCTAACCTGTAACCTCCACGTGGGGGTGACTCAGCCAGATCTGATGCAAGATTGCCCCCTGCCTAGCTACCTGCCTGCTTGGTGGAATACTATTGGCCCTTAATCCTCATGTCACCTTACCCTATCCCAAGATTCCCATCCCCTACCTCAGTGCTGTATAAGTTCCTGCCTGTTGGAATAAATCGAGATCCTGCTTTGACAGACTCCAGACTCAGTGTGGTTTTTTTCTCCCTGGTAACTAATGGGGGGGAGGGTCTGACTCACCATCCCGCTCAGCCCCCGGGAAGAGGCCGGCTGGACCGGCCCTTCCCCCGCTCTACCTCCAGGGAGGAGCCTGCATATCCTGGGAGCAGGAAGCATTTCTGGACAACTAGTAGTTACACCCCTGATCATCAGCAGGAAGTGTATTGCATTTTTTGCCACAAGGGGATCCAACTGTTCACTCTATCTCCCAGATAATAGATACACAAGGCAGAATTGTCTTCTTTCGAATTAATTCAGGATCCAAGAGCAAGAGTACTCTTGGGAGAGCTATTCTGTATGGGACAGCTCTGATACTCGTGGGTTGCCTTCTTCTGAAAAAGGGAAGGACTGTGAGAAATAAATTGCAGGGTTGATTGAAAGCTGTCATGATTCCCTGACAAAGCTGGGGTCCAGCATTAGAGGGGCTATGGCCAGTGAGGCACTCTTAATCCCCTACTTCCCCACTCGAGGTCCCTGGGGTCCTTGATCATGTCCTCCCTTAGTGGAGAGAAATCTCAGGATATAAGGGAATGCCAGAGGCACTCACCCACATGTAAGAGGGTTCTTCTCCATCCTGCAAGTAACAGAGAGGTGAATGTCATGAGGTCATGGCTAAGCCAGCAGAACTCAAACTGCAGAGAGTAAGTAGTTCAGGGAAGCTTAAACTTACGCAGTTCTTCTTGAAGTTGCCCTGAAAAAGAAAGTAATGTCCTTAGTAGTCAGCAGAGAATATTTGGATTTGTCTTAAATGATGCAGGGCTGGCTCTTGCCCCAGCATCAAACTCTTCTTTCCCACCTGACAGGGTCAATCTCTGTTGTGACCTCGACAGGATTTAGAATCACCATGGAAAAAACTTAGCTTTGTCTGTGAGAGATTTTCTAAATTAGGTTAATGAGTTTGATCATGGTGCCTCAGAGGGTAAGAGCCAAGTCTAATCCCCAAGACCCATGAAGGAAAGAACCAACCATACAAATTGTCCTCTGATTTGTATATGCAGGCAATAGTGTGCTAGCCTTCTCCAAATAAATGTAACTAAAAAAAAAAAAAAAAGGTTTACGAAGCTGGATGTAGTGGCACTCACCTTTAATGCCAGCACTTCAGAGGCAGAGGCAGGTGAATCTTTGTGAGTTCAAGGCCAACCTAGTTTACACAGTGAGTTCTACGACAGCCAGAGCTACATAGTGAGGCCCTGTCTTGGAAAACAAAACAAAATAAAATAGAACAAAAACAAAAAATGTTTAGGATCTGAAGAGATAGATTAGTGGTTAAGAGCACTTATTGCTTAATAATAAACAAAATAAAATAGAACAAAAACAAAAAATGTTTAGGATCTGAAGAGATAGATTAGTGGTTAAGAGCACTTATTGCTTTTGTAGAAGACACAGATTCCAATCCCAGCACCTACCAGTGGTTCACAAACATCTGCAATTCCAGTACCAGGTCATCCAATGCCCTTTTCTGACCTCTGTGGGCACCAGACATTCATTTGGTATACATAATACATATAGGTAAAACATTCATTCACATAAATTTAATTTAAAAATTTTCATTTACTGTGTGTGTGTGCGTGCGTGCGGGTGTGTGTGTGTCTGTGTCTGTGTTCTGTGTTCATGTATCATGTTGCAGGTGTGGAGGTCAGAGGACAGGCTATAGGAGCTGGTCCCTTTCTACTACCATGTGGGTTCTGGGTACTTAACTCTAGGATGTCAGGCTTGGCAGCAAGTCCCTTTACCTACTGAACCATTTTGTCTGTCCCTGTCAGATATAACTTTATCACAACAATGAAAAAAGTAACCAATAAAACACCCATATCTGAGAACTGTCAGAAACTAGAAGTGATATGTACCAGGTGAATGGATATTATTAGGACTTTTTTTGGTTTGCTTTTGTTCAGTAATTCAGTCCTGCTTGGAACCAAGAGATGCAAAGTTTGCAGATTGGAACAAAAGATCCAAAGGCTTAATTTCTATGGTATGAGAGTTCTGGACCCTTCTACTGCCTCTACATGTATCTCTCGTGTAAATTTTTACCTGTCAGAAAGGCATTGTCCCTTTTCTTTCCCTCCTTTTTTTCATTTATTTGGGACATCGTCCTATGTAGCCTAGGCTTGTTTTGAACTCATTTTGTAGCCAAGGCTGGCCTTGAACTGAAGAATAGTGAACTCTACTATGTTACTCTTTTACCTTCTAAGCTCTTTCTCTTTTCCCTGGTTCCTTACGTGAAGTTTCTTTTTCTTCATATTCAACTTCTTTTTCAGATGGCAGAATCGACTTTTTCCTGTGGTGTTTCTTGACAAGGCAGATACTTCCAGATGTGAGGAGGATCAGCATCAGTACAGGCAGAATGACAGCCATGGCCACCATCCAGAGAGGAGGGCTGGACACGAAGGACTCTGGAAAGTGAGCCAGAGAAGTGTTGTGTGGTGAGAGCTGGGACACCAGGGCTAAGAGTGCTCCTTGGAAGAAGTCTATCTGGAGAGTTCCTTCAGGTCCCAGGTATGGGAGAAAGATGATGGCTTTTCTGCTGGTTGACCTCTGAATTCTCAGGGGATAAAAATTCCATGTCACCCAGGGCTGCCATGCATGAATGTCAAGGATGAAACGAGGTAAGCAGTCTGCTAAGTTTCCACAGCCATCACCTTTCACAGGTCCCCAGCATTCCGGCCCAGGCTCTTGCAATGCCTTCCTCCTTCCTCTGCCCTTGCTGCATACAGTCTCTTCTCAACTGAGGAATGGAGATCCAGTTCATTATACATAAAAACCCTGCAACGGCTGGGCGTTGGGGGCACACGCCTTTAATCCCAGCACTTGGGAGGCAGAGGCAGGCGGATCTCTGTAAGTTCGAGACCAGCCTGGACTACCAAGCGAGTTCCAGGACAGCCTCCAAAGCCACAGAGAAACCCTGTCTCAAAAAACCAAAAACCAAACAAACAAACAAACAAAAAACCATGCAACGTGCTGGGTGTGGTGGCCTATACTATAATCCCAGCACAAGGGCGGCAGAGGAAGGAGGATCACCACAAATTCAAGTGTGGTCAAGTTTAAGTTGGCAGATCCAGTCTGTCTGTCTTGTCCTTCCAAGTGTGGGGGCTACAAGCTATGAACCAACATAACCACTGTTCCTCACTGTTTTATTACTGTTTATCACTACTCGTTCATATGTTTGGGACTAATTGGTTTTCTTCTTGTGACAAAACATGTGACCTCACTTCAGCTTCAGCCTCTAGCTCTGCAGAGCCAAAGATCCTTCATCAGATCATCCTCCAATCTCCCAGAACTATTCCACACATCAACCTATTTGCAGAGGAGCCTACCTTTTCTAAACATATCTCCAGAGAACAGAAGACTAACCTGGGATGAAAATCACACTCTCCATCTCCTGATTGAGCAGAGTGTTGTTGATGGAGCAGGTCATGTTCCTCACAGAGCAGTCCCTGATGATCACCGTCATGGTGACTGTGAAGAGGCCTCCTCTGTAAGCTGTACACTCTTCCTCTAGGGCAGGCACAGCTTCATAATAGGGGTCTCTCCACACAGCTCTGGGCTTTGGGTACCACCCTTCAGATGTGCACTCCAGCAAGATGCTCCCGTCCTCAAGGGTCTTCATTTTAATGAGGGGCTTAGAGCCCAGGCCTAGGAAGGAACACCAGAGCTCAGCTAAAAGAGTGGCTACTTTAGTTCCAGCACTAGAGAGGCCGAAACAGGAAGATCTCCATGAGTTTGAGCCCAGCCTCGTCTACCTAGCAAGTTCCAAGACAGTTAAGGCTACATAGTGAGATCCTGTCTCAAAAAACAAAAAGAGTGGCTGGGCTAGGGATGTAGTTCAGTAGTAGAGTTCTTGTCTAGCATAGCAAGGGCTTGGGTTTGAGTCTTAGCATCATAAAACAAGCAATAGTATTTCAGGGAGTGTATCTTAGAGATGTGCTCTTAATGATAGAAGCCAAGGAAAGGGATGTACAAATTGATTGAACCCAGGGGTAATGAGTATACAAGTTCCTACAGCCAAAAGATGGAGGGAAGATGAATCAGGAAGGAAGAAAAGATGGGTAGAAAGAAAGGTGCTGGTGTTAGAGAAAGGACCAATGTGCTGATGCACTGGAAGCTCTCTAGCTCCAAGGTTCATCACTGACTATATATCTATACTGTCTCTGTCAAGACTCTGCCAGAGACTTCAATCTTCTGACTTCTTTTTGGTTTTTCAAGACAGGGTTTCTCTGTATTGCTTTAGAGGGTGTCCTAGAACTCACTTTGTAGACCAGGCTGGCCTTGAACTCACAGAGATCCACCTGCCTCTGCCTCCCGAGTGCTGGGATTAAAGGTGTGTGCCACCAACGCTCAGCCAATTGTCTAACTTCTAAGTAGGTATGTTCTATCTAACGTAAAAAAGCCAACTTAGAACTTCACTTTGTGCTGTGAGGGAAAATTTCTCAATTTCTTTGGTCTTGTGGACATTTTAGAATACAAGAAATGGTCAGGATGCCACAACCTTATATAGCTTTCTTACTTTAACACACTGTCCTTTTTGGCTCAGGGCTCTCTCATAGCCAGGCAGAGAGAAAGACAGCCTGATGCCTTTGAAGAAAGAACAGTGTTCCCACAGAGCTGACTCTTGACCTTCAGAAGTGTTTACCTCCTAGGGACTCCCTCAGACAGGCAGTCTGTATAGTGTACCCCCACACTATAGATAGGAATGCATCTGAGGTAGTCAAAACAGTGTCATCTGCTCACTGTGTCATCAGAAAATATCCTGGAAGCCCTTCAACTGAAGAGAACATTAGGCATGACAAAACTTTAGATATGTGGCTATGGGACATTTCTGTCCCTTTAGGCATGCCCCACACACTTTTTATTGACTAGTTCCTTTGTTAGTCTTACCCAATAAATTATACCAAAGAAAGGAAATTCAAGCACTCAATAAAGTTCAGTGCTTTGTGCTCGATTTGATTTTATTGTTGTTGCTGTTTGTTTGAGATAGGACCTCACTATATAGTTCAGGCTGGCCTCAAACTCACAGAAATCCTCCTGCCACAGCCTTTGGGTGCTGTGATTACAGGCATATGCTACCACACTGTGGTAGTTGACTTGATTCTGTTTTTGTTATGTTTTTGAGACAAAAATCTCATGTAGCTCAGTTAGCCTTGAATTAGATATGTAGTTGAGGATGACATATAACTCCTGATCCTCTTGTCTCCAAGCCCTAGTTCTGAGTAGGAGTACAGGTATGTGTGGATCTTCACTCAGAAAACCCAATATGGAATAAGATTAAAAATAACTTCACCAGTCCTGGCTATACTTGAGAATCCTTGTCTCAAAACAACAAACCAATAAACCCAACAACAACAACAACACACACACACAATTGGCAATCTGGAAAAACAATACTATAAAACATTCCACAGGTTCAGAGACAACAGACTTAAGGATGAAATCACCCAGTTAATCAATCCAACAAACAAAATAGGAATTTAGAAAAACCTCAAGGAGTGCTGAGGAGATAGTTCACTGGTGAAGAACTTGTTGCACCAGTGTGAAGACTTGAATTTGGATCCTCAGCACCTGGACTAAAGCTTGGTTGGCCATATGTCTATAACCCCAGTACTGAGGCAGGGGATGAGGAGACAGGCAGATTCTGGGGGCTACTTGGCCAGCCAGTCTTGCAGAACCAAGAGCTCAATGTCCAGTGAGAGACTCTGTCTCAAGAAATAAGTTGGAAAATGTACACACACCCCATACATGTGCATACAACACACACACACACACACACACACACACACACACACACACACACACCATCAAGTTAACATTCTATAATAAACTAATTCAGAGCAGGGCAGGGCAGTGCAGCATGCTTACAGGGAATGAACAGGGGTTCCTGGAACCCACAAGCACCACCAAGTAACCATGAAGTTCTATTATGAACAAGATCAGGGTATGAGGGTAAGGAAACTGTCCTCCTTTAATATTGTGTGATATTAAAATTAATAAATAAAAATAAAAAACCATGGCTCCCTGCCTGGCATGCCCAGTTTTATTGCCATTTCCATCCTGAAGCCTTGCAAAAATTACTCCAGGTAGTACTCTCCGTCAGTACCCCTATGGGGCCACCAGTCTTATCGCCTAGTTTTGCTGCTGTATTTAACATTTGCTACCATCTATTTACATGTCAATTGCTTTTTCTACAATTATTATTGGGAGAAATAGAAAAAAAAGGCAAGATTAGCTGGGGGTGAGGATGATGGTGAGATGGTGATACAGGCTGTAATCCCAGCACATGGCAGAGAGGTAGGAATATCAGAAGTTCAAGGTCGTTGTCAGCAACAAAGAAAGTTAAGCCTGGCCTCGGCTATACTACTAATATTAACCAGTAAAATGTCTGTTGTGATTTTGGGGGCATGCTAGTTTATCTCAGGTACCCTTGCACATTTTCTAACAGTGTCTCTGTCACTCCAGAAGCAACGGCCACAGTTTAGCAGAGCTCACTCAGGTGGACTCAGGACGCAACTGGCCCTGTATAAAGGGGAGAAATGTGCTAGTTTGTGATGAGTCTAAATCCAGGAGAGCAATTTCCCCCAAAGGTCACAGTGGGAAAAGTCAACAGAGGAATATGGAGTGACTCACTTGCCACCATGAGCCTCAAGATGGCCTGATCATAGGACCTGCCTTCCTGGAAGTAACAGCAGTAGATGCCATTGTCATAGGCTGTGACATTGTGGATAATGAGTGCCACTCTTCCCTTGCTGATGTCTGTGCTCATGAAGGTGGTTCTTCCTTGATACACTGCCATCTGCTCCTCTTCTCTCTCTTGATGGCTTCTGTAGACAAGCACTGCAGGGGAGAAATGCCATCGGAACCACCGCACTTCCATGTCCTCAGCATTTCTCTCTGGTGACAGGTGGCAGTGCAGTGTGGTATTTTCTCCTACCATGGCCAGGACGGGCTCAGCTGGTCCCATGACAGTAAACTGGGCTATTCAACAAAGGAGGACAATCAGACAGGAATTTCAGTCATTCCATATCCAATGTAGTCAAGTGGTATTTTAGGGTTTCATGAGGGTTCAAGCTGTGGCCCTGGACAGCTGTAAATTCAATCCAACACAAAATGGTAATCTTATTTAAAACATGAGGTTTGTTTCTGTTGCTGTCTGTTTTGATTCTGTGGTTCTCAAGCGTAGTGACAGTTTTGCATCACAATGCCATACAAAGTAAACATATGTGTGCACTCCCAGCACTCAAGCTGAGCTTTGGACACTGGCCTGGTTAGCTTTAACTGTCAACTTGACACAACCTACAATTATTTCAGAAGAGAATCTCCAGAGAGGGAGGAGTGATAAGCAAAGGGGTCAAGACTGGGCTGGTGAAACCCAGAGAAACAACTCACCTGAAAAAGGGGGAGATCTTGGACCCCAGACTGATGGCTGAGAGGCCAGCATGGTACTGATCCAGACCCCCTGAATGTGGGTGTCAGTGAGGAGACTCAGGCAATCTATGGGGTTTTTGGGTAGTAGATCAGTATTTATCCCTGGCACACAAATGGACTTTGGGGACCCATCCCACAATGAGGATGCTTTCTCAATTTGGACACTTTGGGGAGGGCCTGGGCCCTCCCTGGAACGAAATGACAGACTCTAGAGATCCCCCATGGAGGGCTTTACCCTCCCTGGGGAATAAAGTGGGGATTGGCTGGAGGTTGGGGGGCTGGGGGAGGGAGGGGCTTGGGGGGAGGGAGAGGGGGCTGGGACTGATATGGGAAGCAAGCTTGTTTCTAATTTAAATATATAATAATGAAGTGTAAAAAAGTCTTTAATAATATGTTCTGCTATGAAAAAAAAAGAAGAGATTCTCAACTGGGAAATTGCTTAGGTCAGATTGGTCTGTAGGCATCTTTATGGGGTACTGTCTATTGATGTAGGAGGTGGCTGCTTGCACCATTCCCTAGGCAGGGGACCCTGATCTACATAAGAGCCTGATACCAGCCAGCCAGCAGCATCTTCCATGTCCTATCCTGCACTTCTTTGGCAGTGAAGTGAGTTCCTTGGTTGGAGGCACTGTTCAGTTCCTTTCCCTACTTCCTTTGGCAATGAACTGTGGTCTGCATCTGTACCCAATTAAACCCTTTTCTCTTCTGTGCTACTTTTTGTCAGGTTATCTGTCACAGCAACAGAAATGAAACTAGATCAGATAACTCTGGATCATTCAATGTGTGACCCTTAGAATTCCTCATCTAGTGTGGCCTGGAGAGTTAAAAAGGTTAGATAGCCTGGTTTAGACAAGGACACAGGGGCTCCCTAGATGGGTTGGTTGCTGTGGCTGGGGAGCAGCATCTCTTGGAACAACCTAATGATGCTGCAAATATTTCAGGAATAAATACTAAGTTGTGCGGAATGCACCCCTATGAGGGCTGGAGGATCAGTCAGTCAAATTCATCTTAAGCTAGATAGCAAGAGCAAGTCTGCTATGAAGAAAAGAAAAATGAGACCAACAAACCAGAACCCACATGAACAGAACACTGAGGTCATCTTGAGCACATACTGTAGATCCAGTGTTCAGAATGACTTGTTCTTCAACCCAGTGTCTGAGTGTGGCACAGACCCAGGGTTCAAACCACAGTTGTGTATGTTAGCCAAGTACTACCAATTGAGCCACAGTCCCAGCCCCCTTGTTTGTTCTACGAGACAGTATCCTATTATGTACCCCTGACTGGTCTTGAACTCTTGGCAGTTTTGTCTCAGTTGTCCAAATTTATAGGTGTGCACCACCACACACGACAAAGTAAGCATTTAAATATTAGTATTTGATGATGTGGAGTTAAACAAAATAAATATCATTAAAATCTACTTCATCTGTTTTTAACTCTTTTGAATGTTGCCACTTGAAATTTTACAGGAGTATTTACAGGTCTCCTTTGGGGCTCTTAGCTGCATTTCTGCAGGACAAAATTGGGAAAACCCAGTATATATAGTCAGAACAGAAAGATGAACCAGCACAGCTACAATCCTCCTCCTGGCTGTCTGTCAGGAGAACTGTGGGTATCGCTTTCTGAAAACGTGACAGGAGTAAGAAGCCTACAGCCTTACCTGAGGCCAGCACATCCAGGCTGAGGACCAGGAAGAAGGGAAGGGAGGCTACAGAGCAAGCGCGCACGGAAGTAGCAGGCTCCATTGGTCTTCAGGACAGAGCCACCTAGATCAAGTGTGGACAGGAAGCCTAGAAGTACAGAGGAGACATCATCCACGTTCTCACGCAAGCTGCACTTTTCGTCCCTATCCTGGTCTCAAAACGTTCCAACTTCTGCCTTAGATGGACAGACTTCTTTCCGCAGATAGGGTTAAAACTTGATGGGTGGGTTCGCCAAACATATTAAACCAACAACATAAACATTAGGCAGGCAGTTTTCTGATGTCTTAGGCTCAGTTGTCTTTCCAGAGTCTAGTTTCTTCAGCGGTCATTTGATATTCCTCCCCCTCCCTCCTCCTCTTCCTCTCTTCTTTGGTCTTCTCTCCCCCCTGTTCCTCCCCTCCCATCTCCTCCCCTCCCCTTCCTGCTCCTCCGGATGTTTCTCTTAATTATCCACTAAATTCCTCCTCCTTCCTCCCTCTCTCCTCCTCTAGCCTCCTTCCCTTTCTCCCACTCTCCTTCATCGTCCTCCTTCCTTGTCTTTGTGAACCCCAGGTAAAGCTAGGGAGGTGAGACCTCCCTTCCCCGCAGGTGTTCTTTCCTGACTCAAGGAGTCAGCTTTTCCCTCACAGCAGCCTGCACAATCCCCCACTCCACCCCCACCCCCAAGCTCCTATGGCACCTGCCGGGACTCAGAGCGCTCCCAACCCCCTTCCCTACCTTCTAGAAATAACCTCTGTGTTTTCTTTTCTCCTCTGACACTCAGATACCGATTATTCTGCCTTGCCTTGCCTCTCCAACCGGCCAGTGGGCACAGCAGCCACTAGAGAACAAACTGCTATAGAAGAAAACATTTTCACGAAGTGCCAGCGCTCACAGCAACAGACCTCAGCGGTCCCACTCCGCGTGCAAGTCAGTCTCGCAATTTCCATTGAGCGGTTTAGAGCCCCGGATTGGTCTATCATGAGGCATCAGCCAATAGTATTCCTGTGTCTAGCTGTCACCTGTTGCAAGGCAGAATACACAGAGACAATCCTTTCCCTTCTGCCCTAGGGTCTTCCTTTCCTCCCTCCTTTTGCCCCTTTCTTCCCCGTTGTCCCTGCTCCCTCATCCTCTCCACTCTTGGCCTCTTCCTTGCACTTGAGAGATCCCGGCGTTGTGGCTGCTGTCCAGAGGCCCCATCCCTGTGCGTTGAAATGTGTATGAAGAAGGGAAGTAGGGAGCCAGACACCAGCAGCCCTCTTCTCCAAACCAAAGGAATCTTGTACAACTTGCAAAGGGGCAGGGGAGGAAGTTGCAGGAAGCAGGCATGGGTGGGTGACAGAGGCAAGGGCAGAAGCAGTTATGTACTTGTCTCTCATCTGAGAATGATTGGGTAAGAAAGAGGCGCGTTGTGAGGACACTAAAAAAAAAAAGGTGAAAAGCGTTTTTCCTTGTGAAAACGACGTGCAATTGGGCAGGGGACTGACACTGACCTTGTGGCTGTGCTTTACTAACTGCTTCCATTCTTCTCTACAGTATGCCTGAGCTGACACCAATGCAGGCATTGCATTACTAGGTATTTTATGATAAAAGTCTCAGCTCTGACAGTCCCAAAGGCAAGACTTGGCCACCTACCTCTGGAAGAGCAATCAAAGACAAATAACAGTGAAAAGCAGAGGACAGTTATCCAATATAGCACCTTAAGGAGAAAAAAGAGGTCCAGTGGCTGCCCCCAAGTCCGTACTCATGGTAGGAACATGAAGTTTAGTTTAAGTAGAAGGCAAGAGGTACATATAACCATCAGCCCTGGTCAAAGATATGGTCCTACCTATCACCAAACATCATTGTCTCAGCTCCAGTCTCTCGTGTAAGGAGGCCAACAGGTCCTCAAATTGTGTGACGTCTCTTCTTGGGAGGCAGGTTTCTACCCTGGATGACACTAGATCTTCAGTCTTTTCCTTCCCCCAGCATGGGATTCCTAGGGAAATTTAACTTTTGGGGGGCTAATTATTTTATAGTCAGTTAGCTAAAGAAGAGGGCATGGGTGTCTCTCTTTAGATTGTGTCCTTTCCTGTCAGGATGGTTACAATTGCATAAATGTTTTCTGAGATAATTGTCCCAAGTCACAGCCCTCAGAGTTTTGTTCAACTGCCGAAGTGTTTGCTTGGGAAGCCTCCAGTTCCATTCTGATCCAGTTACAAAACTCTGCCATTCACACTAACATGGCGCCACAGCTGCCTTTGTCCCTCTCGCATACCTTCTCTTGTCTCTTGTTATCTTCCTTAGGGTTGCCTTTCCCAGTGTGCACACATTTTATAAAAGTTGAAAATTTCTTTGTTAACATTAATGTTTGAGTTTTCCAGAGAACAAGGGATTTCTTGACAGCAATCTTCAAACACTTCAAAAAGAAAATGGGATCCCACATCATCGACCTCACCTGATTCGACTTGATGCATCTGAACTGCCCCACATCATCGACCCCACCTGATAAGCACCATCCTGAAACCGGCTTGGAACTATACCATTCGACACAACTCCACACCAAGGAACTGCTACAGTGCATCTTCTACAATCTGACCAGAGCTTCAGATAAGAGCTTCAATCAAAATTAGAACTCCAGTCAAGGAATTCAATCAAGCATCTCCTGCCAAACAGAGACTAGTTAACCTACTTAAGACTTGTTAGACTAACATTTTTTCCCCACAGGTCCACATGAGATTGTCATGGTCCCATTTCAGCAGGAAGTAAATTTGAGAATTCCATGCCCCCTTTCCCTACTGTTGATATCACAGGATTAATTTACACCTGTTAAGCCGGGCGTTGGTGGCGCACGCCTTTAATCCCAGCACTCGGGAGGCAGAGGCGGGCGGATCTCTGTAAGTTTGAGACCAGCCTGGACTACCAAGCGAGTTCCAGGACAGCCTCCAAAGCCACAGAGAAACCCTGTCTCGGAAAAAAAAAATTTACACCTGTTAATGTTAGTTTTCAATTACTTTAGGGTTGGGATTGGAAGGAGGTGTTCAGACTTGGCCATCCCTTTCAGATAAGTTTAGAATTTAGATGGGATAGATATGTTTAGCTTAGGATATAAGTAGATTATAACTTGCTTATCACCTTCTATGTATATATGTTGCATAAGTTCAAGTTTTGTACCAAGTTTAAATCTTTTATTTAGACTAAAAGGGGAACTATAGGGGTAAGTCCACAATATAGTCCACTCGTGGACAAGGGAGAGGCACAGGTGAGGATAAAAGGAAGCAAAAGAAAAAGCTCTCTCTCTTGGGAGTAGGCCACATTCCCAGAGCTTCTATCCCTGTTTATCTTGTAAGCATATTTAATAAAATATATTAGACCTCTTTTTCAGACAGCGTTATTTCCATCTTCAGGTTGTTGCTTGTTTGTGTGTATATTTTGTTTTGTTTTGAGACAAGGAATCACTATGTAGCCCTACCTGGCCTGAAACTAGATATAAAGACCAGACTGGCTTTAAACTCACAGAGCTCTGCATGCCTCTGCTTCCCAAGTGCTGGGATTAAAGGCAACCACCCCAGTTTTGATTAGCTTTTGTATTCATCTCTTCCAAGATAAACTCCAGGTGCTTCTCTAAGGAAGTGTCCCAGACTCACCTGACACCCAGCACTTTTGCCACTCCTGTACTCTGCCCTACATTGTCATTCAGGTGTCAGTTGTATGTTTCTAGCTATTTGAGTATCTCTTTCAAAAGACAGGTGTCTGCATGACCTAATTCCTCCTTTCTTGCACTCAGTTATCCAATGAAAGAGTGAGAAGGCTTTTAGCAATGCCATTTCCCCAACAGCTGAGCCAGTTCCTGGTCCTATGCTGCAAGACAGATCAAGAAAGAGATGGAGTAGAGTCAGTTTACCCAAGGTCAGGAGTTCTTGAACAGCTGATAAGTCAAAGGAATTACCCCAAGGAGAAGTGTGCTGCCCAGTGATAGGAGTGTTTGCCTGTGTGCATCAGGCCCAGAGCCTGACCCCCAGCAGTGGGGGGTGGGGAGAGGGAGAGACAGAGATGCGGGGAGGAGACAGAAAGAGACTGAGACCTTCTAGGTTCCTTCCCTGCTTTGCAGAAGTTTTTTGATGAGAATAAGCCCCAGAAGGCTCTGAAAACCACTTTTTCCATTGTGCCAGTCATTGAACTGTTGAGGGCAGTATTGTCTGTCATCTAATACTTCTAACTTTTATTCTAATGTAGATTCTGAATTCAGTGTCTAACAAGATCAAAAGCATAGCATCAGGTTATTCTATTGCATAGCATCAGGTTATTTGTTTGGGACTACGGTGCTGGAAGGATCTAAAACACTGGGTAACCCATAGCACTTTCCAAAGAAATGAGGCCTGGGTCAGAAGCATTCCCTGAAGTTGGCCTCAGCCCCTCCTCCAGCTGACTAGAGCCTTGGGAAATGTGCTTGTTCTGACCAGGAAGGTGAACCATTGCCTATAAAAGGCTTAGCAGGGAAGCCAGGTTCCAGCAGGCTGTGCTACACTGGATAGCAGTCTTTTCCAGCCTTTCTCCAGAGGGACAAACCCAGGAGAGTCACTTTGGTCAGCTCCCCACATGCAAACGCCTGTTCTTTAGGAAGCAAGGTGCAGAGTGCCCAGTGATCTTTTGAACTGCAACTGGCTTCTTAGCAGGCAATCTGAGTGTATCTTCTACACACAGGTAAAGAAACATTCCTACACTACCTGTCATGTTCCAGACCTTTGATTCATTTAGACAATGGTATAGTTAACAATGACTGAACCTTAGGAAAAGCCCTAAGGGGGCAGGTCAGCACATAAGTAACCTTAAATGCTTGTTCCTGTGAGCAGATTTGTACAACTTTTCTTTGTTTGCTCCTTGTTTTAAAAAAAAAAAAACATGCATTGCTGTCTTTGGCTATGGCCAGCCTTTTGTTTCAGCCTGTTGTACCTAAGATAAAACTAAATCACTTGCTAATTTACCTATGTTTTAACATCTTTGGACCAGAAGCATTTTCCGTTTGTGTGGTCATCTGTGAAGTAGTGGACATCAATTGATCCAGTTGAATCCTCTTGTACACCCCTGATAGTTCTGCTAATTGACTTAGTTGGAGCTACAGAATCTGATTTCTATGATAATTGCAGGTATAACCCATTTCTACCATGGAAAGTCTCTTCCCTCAAGGAAGAACAGCGCACAACATGGTTGGATCAACACTGAGAGGCAGAGGCAGGTGGATCTCTGTGAGTTCCAGAACAGCCAGAGCTACACAGAAAAGCCCTGCCTCAAAACAAACAAACAAACAAACAAAAAAGAAAACTAAAGACAGGCAAAGAAAGAAAGGAAAGAAGGCAGAAAACAAAGAGACAGGAAGACAGAAAGCTGATTGAAGAAAGAAAAACAGAAAGAAAGAAAGAAGGAAAGAAAGGAAGAAAGAAAGAGCTGCTTGAAAATGTAGATTGGTGTAAAGGCCTTCCCTTACTTCCTGACAGTAGTTTCCTCCATAATGGTCATGTCCATTGTCATCATTCCAGTGACCCTACTTGACCTTGTAATAAGCTTCATCTTTGTCACATCTGAATTCTTCTGAAGAAATTACAAAGCATATGTAATGTAAATAATTTTAAAAGTTGTGATTAAAACATAGAATCACCTGGGAGATAGGCTTCTAGGTATGTCTGTGGGGCCTTATGTTAATTGAAGTGGGAAGACCTGCCCGCTATGGGTGTCATCATTCCCTAGACAGAAGCTCTGAGACTACATTAGAGTGGAGAAAGTGATTTGAGCACTGGCATGAATGCATTCATTGCTCTCTGTTTCTGACTATAGATGTGATAAGATCTGCTCCTTAAAGCTCCTGCTGCTGTGAGTTCTCGGTTGAACAGTGAGCTAAAACAAAGCCTTCCTTAAGTTGCTTTTGTCACGGCATTTTATCAT